AGGAGGGTCACTTGAGCCTGGGAGTTCAAGGCTGCAGTGACTTACGATGACACCATGCACTCCAGCCTGGGTGACCGTGAGACTGCATCTCAAAAGAACCATGGTATAGCATGAGCTTAAGAGAATGGGCCGTGGCTGGGCCCAGTGTGGCTTACACCTGTAATCACAGCACTTTGGGAGGCCAAGGCGGGCAGATCACGAGGTCAGGAGTTTGAGACCAGCTGGGCCAATATGGTGAAACTTCATCTCTAAATATAATACAAAAAAAATTAGCCAGGCATGTGTCTGTAGACTCAGCTACTTGGGAAGCTGAGGCAGGAGAATCACTTGAACCCTGGAGGCGGAGGCTGTAGTGGTCAGAGATTGAGCCACTGCACTCCAGCCTGGGCGACAAAGTGAGACTCTGTCTCAAAAAATAAAAAATAAAAAGAGAATTGGCCACCTGGGTCCACACCTGCTGTGTCTCAACCTGCTCATCTGTGAAAGGGGAGAATGAGTGGGTCTGATGGTTAAACGAATTTGTACCTGGCAAGCACTTAGGGCTGTGTCTGGCGCTTGGTTCACACTCAGTAGACACCAGCTCTTGTTGCTGTTGGTATTCACATCACATCTCTAACATTAGGGAAGGGCATCCCCTAGCACTGGGCCTATCATTACTGGGGTGCAGCTGTGCCCCCAGCCAGCCCCACTCGGCCCTCAGAGTCTAGACCCTTTCCCAGGCCAGGATGTGGGACTGGGGCTGGGTAGAGAGGACAGCAGAGGTCTTGTGGCACCCCAGCCTCCCAGGGCGTGGGGCAGTGCACCTGGCTTCTTGAGCCAGGAAGAGCTGCTATTTACAGCATCGGGAGCTTCACTGGTTTATTTCAAGCTCTGCAGATACCAGAGGAGAACTGGCTCCAAGCTGGGAGGGGGCCACAGGCCCCTCATCTCATTTCCTTTCCAAGGCAGCTTCTAGCACATTCCCCAAGGATCCACCAGTACTCTCAGGTCCCCAACCTGGCCTGCAATCAGCCTGGCATGAACCCCCTGATTGCAACCCACAGCCTCCTTGGAGCAGGTGTCGGGGGTGCCTGTTGTCTCTCCTTCTGGCAGAGTAGAAAATGGGGGCATAGGTTGGTCAAGACAGTGTTTGTATAACAG